AAAATGTACTTATAAGTTTGATAATAGATCAATTAATTTATTTAAGTTAATATTTATTAAAGCTAATAATATAAAATTGCTTATGTCAAAGTTGCATTTTTTTTTTTTAACTTAGTAAATTTGTATTCAGTAGTTTAAATTTTGTATATATCAATATATCGTAGCTTATTAATAGAATGAGTTGACCTAAAATCAAACTTAAAGATAAAAACATTATCTATGATATCTAATGGGATTTTTTAATACATTAATTTTATGCGAGAAATGAGCATTTATACTTTTAGTATTTTATATTATCATAACTTGACTAAATTTAAAATATTATGGAAATACTAAGAGATGAAAACCCAGACAGTGTTTAAATACTTAAACAATGGGTTAATTATATTTATTATTAATGGTTACTGCTAAAAATTGGTCATAAATTTACTATATGGCACATTCATAGACAAAGACAACACATGTGGAAGAGGCATCTTCTTAAGTATTTAAAAAAATAAATGTTATATAACCTAATTATTAATACATTAAAAAATTTAAGCTATCACCAAACAATTTGTACAATAGGTATATCATATTTAAACTTTATAATAAATTATAAAATAATAAAGAATTATTACAAAAGAATGTGTTGTCTATTCATTACTAAAAAATATAAGATATTATATTCATCTATAACCACATCAGTAATTATGAAGAATTAAAATTAAATCACATAATAATTGGATAACAAATTTAGTATTTTTTGTATAAATTAAATGAACAGTTTAGCAATTGTAATCAAGACAAAAAAAAAAAAATCAATAATTTAAAATAATTTAATTGTATTCTAATAAAATACTATAAAGATGATAATAATGTATAACCACATAAACTTGAGGAGTACTTTAATCTGGTTTAAATTGTTGAACTGATAGAATACATAATTATGTTATCTATAAAATAAAACAAAATAAAATATAAAATATTATTTCATTAAAATAATAAATAAAGTATTCTAATTATATACTAAATKACATTTTTGTAGTGATAATAGTTAGGTACAACAATTAGTTATTACTCATACAAATGATTCTCAACTGTTTTTAATTAAGTGAAAAAATATATAAGAACCTTTAAAATCAAAAATATCAATTTTAATATTATAAATAATCAATACTGATATAAGTCCAAACACTTTATGAGGTATAATTCTAATGAGTAATGAATAATCATTAGAGTTCGGATGTTTATGCACTTAAAACTACTGTAATATGCATGCATTTATGCACTAAAAAATTATAAAATATGCGCTAAAAATGATAAAATATGCATTTTATTGTAGTTACTATCTATAAAGGTTATATAGATACACAAATTGTGGAATTAATTGTATAATTTGAAATTAAAATATTTTTTTTAAATTAATTGAAATATGAATTTTTATTTTTAAAATCTCAAAGTATGCAATTAAAATACAAAACCATTAAATATGCAAAATAAAAATAGTATTATTTGATTCAAAGTTTTGTATATTTCTAACATTTTTCAATTGTAAATCTAATTATCAAAAATTTAAGACAGCTATTTGAATATTACAAGTCATTAACCTTTAACCAAAATGTTTCATGTACGATATAATACAAACATTGAGTAATAATATTATAATAAATGTCATATAAATAAAATTTTTGTTTGCACTTATATGTAGTTAAGTATTTTGATATATATCCAGGATTTTGGATCATGGGAAACATTGTTTTTTTCTGCGATAGTGAAATACAAAATTTTTCATAAGTTTTTTTGATAAAACATTACATCAAAATCACAAATTATTTTGTAATTGAAAATTCATTCATTAAGTTTTAATACCAGACTTGAAAATTCTTACASCAGTTTAAAATTATCTAATAAAACACAGGAAGAATTATTTTTAGACATACGAAGTTCAAATGTTGACAACATAAGATATTATTTAAATGAGAAATAATGGTAATTTCTTTTACTTATTAATTATTACCCAAACCATTATTATTTTGTTGATAATTAATTGAATATTAACAGTATGAATAATTTGCAATTTAACTTTTTATTTTAATTGATGTGTTTGACTATTAGAAGTTTACAAATCTGATATTGTTGAAAATATCATGATAAGACTTAACTAAGTAGGGAAATAAATTAGTAAAGACCAGTTTTTACATACATTTCTTAAGTGTCTGTAGACTTATGAGTTATGAGAGTAGAACATGTGAACAATTTGTTAAATTGTTAAATTATATTAAAATGTTTTGTATATTTGAGAATTTATAGAAACTTAATTGGCATATTTTGGAATATTTTGTAAATAGTGAGGATACAATATTAATTTCAATATTCTATCATAAGTTGCCGTGACACTCACTAAAAAACATAGTGTTAACAAGTTGTAGATGTTTTAAGAAAATATAAATCCGGTCTATAGCTATGAGAAATAAATTAAACAAAAATTGACTTACCACATTAAATTGATCATAAAACTTGGTGAATTCTCAAGTAGAAATACGTTTAACTGTAACATAATTTAAAAAATAAGAAAAATATTTATACAAAGCTAAATAGTTAATGAACTATTTATCTTAATATATCAGATATTTGAGTAACTAATGACATCTTAATAGATAGAATTTAATGCTTACTGAACATAAAGAGATCCAGTTTTGTAATTTGATTGTTTAAGAGCATCTTTTAATTTTTCTTTCTGATGTAATAATACACCAGGTGAACTTGACGTATTAGTACCGTACATACTATTGAGTACATAATTAAATCCTTTTACTGCTTTAGCACTGTTAACTTTAAATCGTTGCATTCCAAATGCTTGAATTGCTTTAGACATTCCATATACGTTTGATTCAATCCATACGGATCGCTCTGCAACTGTGGTATTTGGATTTTCTTCATTTACTTTATAAATAACTTTTTCTGTCACACCCTAAAAAATAAAGATGATAAAAATTAATAATTTTTACTTTTTTCAACTTACAAGTATTAAATGTAAATATATTTATTTGAATAAATAGAAGATATTATATGAAAAAAGATCGAGGAATGAACAAATCATAAATTATTTAGGTATTCATAATTAATTTAAAAATGTATTTTCATATTGAATTAATACTAAAATTTAAAAAAAAATAGTTAAAATTATTTAAAGAAAAATGAATAACATTATTATTAAAAAGTTAGTAGACGTTAAACTACAAATAACCTTGAACAAAATAAAATTGTTAATTCATTAACAGAAAATATTATAATTATGAATAAATTGTTGGTAATTTAATAAAATGTTCAAGGCCTTTATAAAATAGGTTTAAAAAATCAGAAACRTACCATAACACTGGCATATCCAACATTCCTTGTATACGTCACCAATGTTTTTTCTGAAGGATCTAAAATTGATTCTTCGACTATTTTTACATCTTTACTTTGTATAAAACGTTCACCCCATTTAGGCAACTTGTTAGTTTTTGWGAATAACCTAATAGAATGCAATTTATTTTCTATCACCTCTCTATGTAAAACATCTTCAGATAATACATGCTTGCTGAAAAAATATATATTTATTATTTAATATCTAGGTAATAATTAATTTTTGTATTTAACTAAAATGTTACCTTTCTGGATTTGGATAACGATGCCAAAAACCATGAACAACTTGATCCCATTTAAATGGGAATAAACTTTTATTTTCAAAAAATTTTACCATTATTATAATACGTATAGAAATGAGTTAAACTTTATCTTTAAAAAAAATTCTAATTCAAACACTCGGCTAGTTCAATTATTACTATACTTATTATTATACTATATCGTATATGCATTTAACGACAAAACTTGTTTCCAGTGTCATTTCAATATTTCAACAAAATAATAGGTAATATGTACTATGTACGAAGTGAATGTGACTTAATAGTATGTAATTTTTAGGCAGTAGGGCATGGGTACAGCATAATATTATTATTATACTATTTAATATTTACTTACACAAGGAGATAACATAGTATGATAACAAGTCGGTAATATAATGATAATAAAATTGTAGAACCAAGGTGAAATGATCAATAAATGAATGATACAATAAACAACCTAAATAAAATATTATATTTTTTACTGATATTTTATTATAAATAATAATATATTGATATTAATTAAATATTTTTAAATTCGTTACTCGTTAATAAACAGTAGTTAAGAATTGTAATTTTGAAATTAGTGGAATAATTGATAGAATCTATTTATACAATTTATAATTATTATAATATAGTTATTAATATTATATAATTATTAATCAATGAAATAATTTTAAAGGTCTTTATTGTTATTATTTATTTTTAAAATGATACTGCAAAATACAACTGTGTTTAATTGTTTAATATTTGTTTAAACATTTAAATATCTATAGGGAATCACTAGAGTAGATTTTTGGCAGACAAATATTAAGATTTTTAGTCAATGACTTTCTTACGTCTATCATACCCTGGTTATATAATTTTTATTTCTTATCATTGCACTCTATAGACCGGTAGTCACGTAGTCACAGATATACCATTGTGTATACATAAACAATAAGTCAATATACATTGTATACTGTTGAATATATTTGGGCGACTGAGCGTATAGTAGTAGTTATTGTTTAGATTTTAGGTACCCACTATCAAATACCTTATTATACACTTATGAATTATGGCTGTTCAGTACAGTTATAGTTCGGAGCACCTTAGTTGCGTCCCGTAAAAAAGATATTCATGAATTACGTCCCACTATATTGGTTAGGTAGTAGAATTTTGATTTCGTTTTCAGCGATTCTCCGAGGTTGTACSTTTTCAGTCGCAGCTAGTCTATTGATCAATGCCTGTTGCTAAAATTGTAGTAGGTATCATCAGAAAACTTGAAACATAGCTGTCACTGAGTTACAATTGGTTGGGATGTCAGCTGTGTAAAGCAGATAAAAATAGGTCCTATTTCACTAACTTGCAGTGGTCCTCTTATCTCTTGCTGAAATGTTTTTCCAATTTGTTRGCGCATCTTCACGCATAACTCAAAATTATCTCTCAATAAGATAAGATTCTAAGAGAGCGCACCAGTTCAGTTTGTAAAAAGTTTTTTGTAGTTTATTCCCAAAGAACAGCCACTATTTTAGAGGAAAACTAGGGAAAATTTCGCTGTACCCCCACCCTGCACCTATTAGTGGCGTATCCACGATTTAATTTTTTTTTTTTGTGTACACAATTTTTAAACGTTATTACCCACATTCCGCTAAAAAAACATAATTTTATCTTTTTTATTTTTTTTTTTTTTTTTTGGGGGGGCATAGTCCAAGGTGATAATTTTTGTATACGATAAAACGTACAATAAGTCGTTACGTGTAAGCGGGCCTTTACTTAAGCCAATGGAGGGCGAGGCTCCACTGTCCCCCTTAAATCCACCTCTGGCACTTTTGGGAATTTTAAGTTGGAATTTTAAACATAGGTTCATGGTTAAAATAGGGAGGTAGGTTYCTAAAATACTTATAATGAATTCAAATATTTTGAAAATGTCATTGCGTAAAATGAATAATAGTTTTGAAGTCCTCACAAATAATTGAATCAACMACTAAACGTTCTTTTTCATTACAATGAAACAACTAACATCGTTATTCTTCGTTAAAAAATCTAATAAAATA